CTCCCAAAGTGCTGGGATTACAGGCTTGAGCCACCGCGCCCGGCCTCAACAGGTATTTCTAGAAACAATTTGTTTCTCCACTCGCTCTGAGGTGCTTTAGAGCTCAGACTGTGTGCTGCTGGATTCAAACTCCAACTCAGTTACTTACTAGCTGATGACCTTGGCTAAGTTATTTAACCTCTCTGTGCCCGTTCCCCACATGGAAAATTGGGGTTTCAGCTGTTATTGTTGCTTCATTGGTTCCCGGGATGTTAAATTCAATTATGTAATTACAACTGCCATGAACAGGTTTGGGAACCAACACCTGACTCTTGATAAGCATCTGACTTAACTGACAGAGCTGCACACACAGGGTGAGCTAGAGACTGGCCCACTGCTGTGAGCAGTCAGCATGCCAAGGGCCTTAGTCAGTAAGTTTCACACAAGGAAACGGAAAACATCAGGTAACCTGGGTCAGCGACGCCAATGATAGTTAAGAACGACTGTTCTAAATCTGCCACCATCTGTCATCCAACCCTGGCCACACCTGGGGAGAATCACCTGGGGATGTGTAAACAATATGATGTCCTGGCACCCCCAGAGACTGATGTAAGTGGTACCAGGTGGGGCCTGGGCATTTCTAAAAGCTCCCAGATCTTTACCAGCTGTGATAAGCACCCGAGGGCTAGAAGGGAAGCGCTTGGAGGGCAGGGCCCGCCTCTCTGATCTCACAACTGGACACACAGTGCCTGTTTCCTGGCCACAGTGGGCCCTCACATCCTAGCTTTTAAAGGAGTAAATGGTGGCCATTAGGTTTCAAGCACCAGGGCACAGGCTTGATTCCCTCTTCCCAGCTTCCCTATTGTGCCAGTGGGCAGAAACCAACCACACAATGTTGCTTAGGCTGTGCCCAAGGGGCAGACAAAGGCACCAATGGGAAGCCTCAGCGGGGAGCAACCCTTCCCCCAGAAACAGTTCCAGGAGGCACCAGGCGCCACCCAGGGCTGCAGTTAATCATTCACCCCACAACACAGGAAGTAAGCCCTACGCCAGTCCCAGCCCCAGGGCTTCCCGAGCTCAGGGCAAGTCCGCGGTCCACACATCATCCAGACAGAGGACAGCCCAGCCCAGCCACAGGTGAGGTGGCCCGATGGCCTGGGGCAAAGGCCCTCGGTCCAGTCTCTTCCCCGTCCACCCCAAGTCTGACTTCTCTCAGGAGGGACTCATGAACACGTGCACTGAGCACCCCCAAAATGACATCACACAAGGGCAGAAAGGAGCCAAAGGGGGAACGTGAAAGGCAGAAAGGGAGCTGTGGTTGCCAGGCAACCAGTCCTAGCCCACCTTTGTTTGCCTTGGTGATAGCAACGAAGGTCTGGTCAGGGCCGCTTGGCCACGCTCACGCCTTTTCCTCTCAACAGTTGCTTCTTTGAGTCAGGGTGCAGCTCTGGTCACCTGACGGCCTCTTCAGCTCAGCCTCCCGCAAAGTGTGAGCCTGAAGGACCACCCTGAATTGCCCTTGTAGGACCCAGAACAGCTACCAGCAGAATCGGGTAATGGCTCCCTCCTCCTTCACCCGGGCTGCCCTCACCTGGCTATGGGCTTGCAGTCTGTGATAAGGAGCTCCACTTCTAGAAGACTGGTAAGTTCTGTTCTCAGCTGCTCCAAGGAGCCCACCAAGGCCTCAGCTAGAGTTGGCCACTCCTTGGCTCCTATACGCTCTCTCGAATGCCTCCCAAATGTTTGGCAGTTGGTGCAGGAAAAACAGTGAGGCTCTATCGTGATGCTTTTTAGATTTTAGCCAAGTAGGTTTCAGGGATGAGAGAGAGTCCTTGCTCACACTTGCTACTCAGGAAAGAAGGACTGGAGAATCCAGGGGCAGCCCCCAGGAAAAATCCAGGGCCCCACTCCTTGCGCCAGTCCTGGCTCCTGTATCTAGAGCAGGGGAAATGCCATTTGCTGCTGGCTGCAGGCATCGAGCACAGACTCCAGCCCTTTCATGTCCCCTGGCCGCCAGGCAGGCCGGCTGCTCACAGAAGCTGCTATAGAGGCTGGAGTCAGCGGGCAGAGCATAGCGCCTGGGACAGGGCCTGGGAGGGCTGCCTGCGCTCAGGTCCTCTGTCCCTCTTTTCCAGATTCTCATGGACCAACTGGTATTCAAAGAGACAATCTGGAATGATGTGTTCTGGCAGAACCCCTGGGACCAGGGGGGCCTGGCAGTGATTATCTTATTCATCACCGCTATCCTGCTTCTCATCTTATTTGCCATCGTGTTTGGTTTACTCACTTCCACAGAAAACACTCAGCGTGAAGAGGGTGAAGAGGAGTGACCTGACTTCCTGGGGACTGAGACGGCAGCAGGGGAGGCAAGCTGACCTGCCCCATTCTGATGGTGGGCCCCTCCGCGGTCCCCTCTGGCTCAGGGGCCAGGCCCTGGTGTCTTCCTTTCCCACCAGGAAAGAGTCTAGTAAAATATTCCATCTGGCTTAGGGTTGGTCAGACTAGTAAGATGGGGAGGCTGGTCTGAGACCAATTCTGGCTCCTTGATCCTATTGGTTTTCGGGTTCCCTGACCAGAACACTAAAAGCACATGGAGAGGACGGCTCCACTGCCTCAGGTGGAAGGAGCGATGGCTAACAAGGTTTTCTAACAGGCTCACAGGCCCAGCCAGCAATTTCACAAATCCTTGACAGAGAAAGGCACAACCAAATGAAGTAAAAATTCCTTTACAAATCTGCTAACTTGTGAGAGCTCATTTTTAATCCAGATAGAGCCACCAGAGCAAGCTTCCCGAACAAAGCCTCACCAGGGCCCGCACAGTCTGGCCTGTCTCCAGCCATCTCGCCCACCCCACCCCGCCCTGCCCCTGGGTTCTCAGCGTGTCTTTTGGTTCTTGAATATGCCGTGTTCTCTCCCACCACAAGGCTTTTGCGCATGCTATTCTCATTGACTGGGATGCTCTCCCTCTCACACCACACTTGACTCCATGGCCTAGTTAGTCCTTCCTCATCCTTCATATCTCAGTTTGAACCTGACTCCCTCAGGTAAATCTTCCCTAACCCTCGAGGATTAGGGTAAGGCCACCTGTTTTATACTCTCGAAACACCATTTACAGGACTTATATGTCTTTTTTGTTTGTTTGTTTATGAGATGGAGTCTCGCTCTGTCACCCAGGGTGGAGTGTAGTGGCATGATCTTGGCTCACTGCAAGCTCCGCCTCTCGGGTTCATGCCATTCTCCTGCCTCAGCCTCCCAAGTAGCTGGGACTACAGGTGCCCACCACCATGCCCGGCTAATTTTTTTCATATTTTTAGTAGAGATGGGGTTTCACCGTGTTAGCCAGGATGGTGTCGATCTCCTGACCTCGTGATCTGCCCGCCTCGGCCTCCCAAAGTGTTGGGATTACAAGCGGTAGCCACTGAGCCCGGCCTTTTTTTTTTTTTTTTTTGGAGATGGGGTCTCACTCCCGTCGCCCAGGCTGGAGTGCAGTGGCACAATCTCGGCTCACTGCACGTTAGACTTCTGAGTTCACATGATCCTCCCATCTCAGCCTCCTGAGCAGCTGGGACTACAGGCGTGTGCCACCCATGCCTGGCTAATTGTGTTTTTTTGTATTTTTAGTAGAGACAGGGTCTCGCCATGTTGCCCAGGCTGGTCTTGAACTCCCAGGCTCAAGCGATCCTCCCGCTTCAGCCTCCCAAAGTGCTGGTATAACAGGTGTGAGCCACCATGGCCGGCTCTGGGACTTACATGTCTCTGCTGTGACTATCTGCAGTGCTCTCTTCCCCACTGGACCAAGCACCATAAAGCAGGGGACGGGGCTATTTCTGCCCACCAGTGTATCACCAAGTCCAATGTACCTGGCACAGAGCTGGCATCAGTCAATATTTGTCGGCTGAATAAATGACTGAATGCGTAAACACACAGATAAACAAGAAGATGCCGGGCTGTTGGGCACCCCCAGCCCCAAGATCCCAGGAGACAACAGGGCCCAATTCAATCCAGGTCTAAACACAAGGCTGCTCTTCCATCTCAAAATGCCGAGGCCTCAAGCTGGAGGTTGCTTCAAACGTAATAACTGTTCCCTATGACACTAAAAGACACTCATAGTCATGAATAATCAAACACTGCTTTTTCAAGGTTATAGCCCAGAGAAAGTAGCTACAGATAGAGAAACTGCTGACTGCCACAGCCCCGCCTCATTAGTTAACTGACCTGAGTATCTTTTTTGCTGGTCCCACTCCCATGCGCCTCAGACCCCACAACAAACCAACCGGAAACCTACAGCTTCCTTTGCAGAAATGTACCCACTTCTGCTGAGCCCACCCCGCTGGCTCTGTCCCTCGCTGCCAGGTGCCTACCCCAAGGGAACGGCTGGTGGGAGGCTGCTTCGACCTCAGCCTCCAACGAGAACTATTCTTAGGGAGCAAATATCTGGTGGAGAAGGGGCTTTTTCTTTGTGCTACACACCAGTTACGAAATAAACAAACATTCACTTATTCAAAGAACAGTAGCCAATACAGACATACCAGCAGTGTTTATTCCAGCCTGCCGCCTGGATTTCAGAATCATCACATGTAGCAAAGGAGACATGTACAAGGCTGCACAAGAGGCAGCACAATGCTGTCACCTGGACTCCTTGGGTCCAGAGATGCCTAGACCCCAGCCCCTGGCAACCAGGCCACTGATGCACTAAGAAGTCCCAGCTCCCCGGAAGGTGACAGGAGAAACAAAGGCAGAAGCCCTTGGGAGGACCTGTTCCCTTGCCTGGCAGACTGAGCAGACCCTGGGGACTGGCAGAGTTAACCCTCCAGAGAGCATTCCAGAGCCTCGGACAGTCCCGGAGCTTTTTTCAGCAAAAAGGACTCACAATGAACAGGAACACTTGGCCCTTTCATTCCTCACCAGAAATGGAAGCTCTACTCAAAAAGCCTAAGAAGGCCAAATTTAGCAACTCCCGTATTAATTGTGCTTGAAAAGGGCTCTCTGGTCGCAATGGCTGCAGGCAAGGGTGGTCCTGGCACTGCAGCCGACCACTTCTGCTGGGCGTGGTCTTGCCACAGAGGCCAAATTAGAGATGGCAGTTTGGAGAAGAAAATAGCTTCAGTCCAGAAGCCACCGACTCACTGGTGAACAGGAGGAGGTGGAAATAAAAACACACAGCTCAAAGAAGAGCTTTTCTGATTTCCTTGGTTTTTTCTCGCAAAAACCAAGATGGCCTAGGTGTATGAAAATGAGCATGCCGCTGAAAATCAGGAGCCGGGTGTTTAGTGGCCTCAGTCTACCACGAGCTGCGTGACTGTGACCTCTCTGGACCTCGATTTATTCACCTCTAAGTCTGAAGCAATCACGTCAGCGTCATCCCCCGACAGGATCATTCCATGAGATGAGATGAATCCAAGAATTTTTTCGATCAAAATGTAAAGACTCCTCCTGGCTGTCTCTCACCCAGGCACTCATAGCTCCGCATGCCTGGACATGACCTGACTACACTGAGCAGCCCTTGGGCTCTTCCTGTGGCCCCTGCCCCATCGCCTGCAGATGCAGCTAAAACAGATGTGTGGGTTCAAAGCACATGACTCCCCGAGGTAAGCGGGGCCACAGGCTTCTGTGTGGGTCCTGGATAAGGGTGAGAACTACTCAAGTGATGCCAGAAGTCCCAGCTCGGTGGCACATGATGACCACAAAGTCGACAGCTCAGAGCTGGTCACATCCCTTGGAACTGAGTGGCCTGTGAGGCCAGCCATTCCAGAAGAGGGTGGAGTGGAGGGAAGGATACCACTCAGAAGACTGAGCAAATCCCCACACTGCCAGAGATCCTGGGGACTCCAATAGAGAACAGCAAGGTCCTGACTTCCACGCTGCCCAACACAACAGCCTTTGCAGGCAGGGGTCCCTTGGTAGCCTACGGGCTGTCTTATGTCAGCTGCTTAACTAGCGGGGCCAGGGGAGTAAATGATCTCACTGACACTTTGCTCCACACACAAAATAAGTCACTTACCCCAGTTCTTCACAGAAGGTCACCAGGGCATCAAAGGCCAGGATAGTGGCTTTATCAGATGCTTTGTTCCCTCTCTTTTCCTGCAGACAAAAAAATGACACCTTAGCAAATCTTACAGAATTGGACTACCTTAGAGGCACAAAAAGTAATGAGGAGGCCGAGCACGGTGGCTCACGGCTGTAATCCCAGCACTTTGGGAGGCTGAGGCAGGAGGATCATTTGAGACCAGGAGTTCGACATCAGCCTGACTGACAACGTGAAACCCCATCTCTACTAAAAATACAAAAAAATTAGCCAGGTGTGGCGGTGGGTGCCTGTAGTCCCAGCTACTTGGGAGGCTGAGGCAGGAGCATTGCTTGAACCCAGGAGGTGGAGGTTTCAGCAAGCTGAGATCATGCCACTGCACTCTGTCTCAAAAAAAAAAAAAGTAACAAGGGAGAAAAATATTAAATGACAGTAATAAAGCCATTTACAAAAGTGTCCCCAAACCTGACTATTTATCATAACCCCCAGAATACTGAACTGAATTTTCTGGGATGAGCTTTTGAGAGTTTCCCAAAAGCTTCTCAGGAGGTTCTCATGCAAAGGGCCCACAGACTGGCATTTAGGAAGCACTATATAACATCACCTATTTTAATAATAGTAAACACATGCATAAAGGTTGTAAACTTAACATATACGAAATATATACTTCTGTGTATATTGGAGGGAGATATATTAATGTTAAGTGATTCTTTTTGACAACCTTAAAACATGAATTTAAAATACAATTTAAAACCTGTAATCCCAGCTGGGCGCGGTGGCTCACGCCTGTAATCCCAGCACTTTGGGAGGCCAAGATGGGCGGATCACGAGGTCAGGAGATTGAGACCACCCTGGCTAACACGGTGAAACCCAGTCTCTACTAAAAATACAAAAAAATTAGCTGGGCACAGTGGTGGGGGCCTGTGGTTCCAGCTAATCAGGAGGCTGAGGCAGGAGAATGGCGTGAATCCGGGAGGCGGAGCTTGCAGTGAGCCAAGATCACGCCACTGCACTCCAGCCTGGGCAACAGAGGGAGACTCTGTCTCAAAAAAAAAAAAAACCAAGAACAAAACAAAACAAAAACCTGTAATCCCAGCACTTTGGGAGACTGAGGTGGGCGGATCACCTGGGGTCAAGAGTTCAAGACCAGCCTGGCCAACATGGTGAAACTCCATCTCTACTAAAAATACAAAAATTAGCCAGGCATGGTGGCACACACCTGTGATCCCAGGTACTCAGGAGGCTGAGGCAGGAGAATCACTTGAACCCGGGAGGCGGAGGTTGCAGGGAGCTGAGATTGCGGTACTGCGCTCCAACCTGGGCAACAGAGCCAGACTCCGTCTCAAATAAAATAATAAAGTAAAGTAAAATAAAATAATGCTTGACCTGCTGACTCGGAAACCCATGTGGGGTGGGGGTGGGCAGTCAACTACATCAGGAGAGCAAGATTCCCAAGCCCTTCTGTTGGCACCCAAGGGGCCAGTGTGTACCCCTTGGATCACACAATCAGAAAACAGGAGGACCGAAAAGGTTTCCTGAGTCTCTACTTACCAGGGAGGCTGGGTGCAGCCCTGCCAGCCCATCCCTGAGCACAGCATCCCAGACGGGGCAGAGCAGGATGTGGCTGGGCAGGGCAGGTGGGCTCTGGAAGGTGCTAATGGTAGCAGATAGGGTGTTGCCACCTGCCTGCAGGTAAGGAGCACCCTGAATGAGTGG